ATTATATATATTATAGATTATATATATTATAGATTATATACAATATATATTATATATATTATATATTATATATATTATATATTATATATATTATAGATTATATATTATATATATTATAGATTATATATTATATATATTATATATATTATAGATATATTGTATATATATTTGTATGCGGCGCCATACAAATAAACAACTGCGATAAACTGAAAAAAATATCAAAGTATATTTAACATAATATTAATATAATATAATAAACATAATATAATATAATAAATAGATTAATATAATATACCCGGAGGGATCGCATCGTTGAAGAGGGACTCGGTAAGCACAGAGACGCCTTCATACCACGCCTTCCACATTAAGTTGCTGCATAGCAGCAAATTAAAGCTGTCAAGACCAATTGCTACGTAGTTTACACCTGAAATACAAACCCTAAACCCTAAACCCTAAACCCTAAACCCTAATTCGTGAATGGTAGATTCAATTACGTACACAAAGCAAGAAAAAGACTTAAAAATGCTTACATATTCATCTACATCTACGACAAAAAGATTCAAATGCTACAATCCCCTAAACCCTAAACCCTAAACCCTAAACCCTAAACCCTTACAGACGCAAAGAAACCCCCAAACAGCAGCAGCGCGTAGACCAACGCAGCGACAAGACTTCAAAGCATCTGCAATCCACCCCGTTAGCGGCGCTACCACAACTGTTACTAAACCCGTTAAGGAAGCCATCGCCCCGATCTGCACGCAAACCCTAAACCCTAAACCCTAAACCCTAAACCCTAAACCCTAAACCCTGAGCCCTGAGTCGTGAGCCCTGAGAGGATATTATATACAGTGTGCACGCACGGCAACTAAGTTAACAACAAATCATCGGAACCCGAAACCCTAAACCCTAAACCCTAAACCCTCACAGTATATCCTAAACCCCAAACCCTAACTAAACCCTAAACCTCAAACAACAAAAAACAAAGCCATGTCTTCGCCATACACTTTACAGCGTCAGCAAAGACAAAACTTGCACTGAAGAAACAAACCCTAGCCCCCAAACCCTAAACCCTAAACCCTAAACCCTCACAGCTCTGTTGCCGCCAAACTGCATATGCAAATAAGCATCAAACACCGCCGCAGAGCGAGCAGCATAAGAGATTGCATTAAGTACTCGAAAGTAAAACCTGAAACACAAACCTCAAGGGTTTAGGGTTTAGGGTTTAGGGTTTAGGTGGGTTGCTGGAACATAGAGGAGGGGAACTAGGGTTTGCGAATTAAGGTCTGAGCTTCCCTAGGGTTTAGGGTTTAGGGTTTAGGGTTTTCGCTGCTGGGCAGAGGTTTGCAGCGGAGACGCAGGGTTTAGACTGGAGTTAGGGTTTAGCTGAGGGTTTAGGTGAGGGCCAAATGCAGCCTAGGGTTTAGGGTTTAGGGTTTAGGGTTTAGGGTTTACATGAGGGTAACATTGCGGTGGAAATGTCCCTGTAGCAGCAGTTTGTGGAAAGGCAAGGGTTTTCTCGCAAACCCTAAACCCTCAGCGGGTCCTAAACCCTCACCAAACCCTAAACCCTCAGCAGGCCGTCGCTGCTTGAGGGTTTGGCCAGAGGCTCCTTCCCTCCCTAACAAGGGAAGTACGACTTCTGCTGCTTCATCTTGCTGCTGCTGCTGCTGCTGCTGCTGCTGCTGCTGCTGCTGCTGCTGCTGCTTATTTCGGCGCCCCACTGTCTTTGCTCCTGGGGCCTGTGGAGGTCCCCAGGCAGACCCTGGGGCCCCTTGCATTCCCTGTCTTGAAGGAAACCCTAAACCCTAAACCCTAAACCCTAAACCCTAGCCCCTATATCCTGAGCTCTCCTTGACGCTCTACAAGTCCAACCGTCGGGGAAAAGCAGAGGCCAGCGGCGGGGGAGCCTTCGAAAGTTTGGGGTTTAAAATTTAGGGTTTAGGGGTTAGGGTTTAGGGTTTAGGGTTTAGGGTTTAGGAGCAGGGAGGCGGCAGAAGGCGGAGGGGTTTGTTGTCTTTGAGGTGTACGTACACCCCAAAGACAGACGAATGGGTTAAGAAGGGAAGCTGAAAAGTAAATATATGAATATATTTGTTTAGGGTTTAGGGTTTAGGGTTTAGGGTTTAGGGTTTAGATGCCCCAGCCAAACCCTCGCTGTCCAACGGGGGCCTCGCCCCACAGCAGAGCGTCTCTTCAGTTTAAAATATATGCAAGATGAACAAAGTATTATTTTATAGTGTTTGTGTTTCTTTTTTATTAGCGAAGATAAGCCCTAAACCCTAAACCCTAAACCCTAAACCCTAGGCCTCGACCCGTTTGTGCCGGGGCTTCGACTGGCTGGCCTCTCTGCCGCAGCGAGCTTCTTGACGTTAGGGTTTAGGGTTTAGGGTTTAGGGTTTAGGGTTTGTGTTTTTGAATAGGGATTTAAATATCATACAGGATCACGATGAAGCTGAACTAGGGTTTACGTTATGCGCAGCTGCTGCTGCCCGCCGCTTCAGGGTTTAGGGTTTAGGGTTTAGGGTTTAGGGTTTAGGGTTTAGGGTTTAGGATGTTTATCATTTCAGTTTTGCAAGACACACTCAGTGTCGAACCCTCTCTTCTTGGAAGGCCCTTAGAACCCGTATTAAGGGAGGCGATTGCCCTCAAGTACACTAACAAGGTAGGGTTTAGGGTTTAGGGTTTAGGGTTTGTTGTTAGGACCAGCAGAAGCCTCTACATGATTATTATTCGCGCGCTGTGGCTTCATAAATGCTCCTTCAAGGGTTTAGGGTTTGGAAGGATCTCTACTCGCAGCTGCGCTTGCGGTTCTGGGCCTAGGGTTTAGGGTTTAGGGTTTAGGGTTTAGGGTTTCTGTTCAGGTTTTGAGAGATTTGGGTTTGTTTGTTTGTCTCTACGAAATTACGGAGGTCACCGGCGCCCCCATTCTCCCTTCTACCGGAAAGGCTCGCTACAATGTAAACCCTAAACCCTAAACCCTAAACCCTAAACCCTAAACCCTAAACCCTAAACCCTAAACCCCAAAGCTGGCTTATCCTAGCTAAGCCAGGACCACCACGTTGAGTTTTGCCTGAACCCTAAACCCCGTATACTAGTATCGTCAGGGTTTTTAGGGTTTAGGGTCTAGGGTTTAGGGTTTAGGGTTTAGGGTTTGCGTTCAGGTTTGTTTTAAAGCAGTTATCTTCAGGCCTTTCATAGGGGAGGTCTTGCAGGGGGTTGTTCGCGAGTCTTCTTCCTCTGGCATTGCAGGTAAACCCTAAACCCTAAACCCTAAACCCTTACAAACCCTAAACCCTAGCATTTAACCCTAAACCGTAGCACTAAACCCTAAGCCCTAGCATTAAACCCTAAACCCCTACCATTAAACCCTAATCCTAGCATTCAACCCAAAACCCTCACGAGCCCTAAACCCTAGCATCAGACCCTGAACCCTCATAAGCCCTAAACCCTAACAGTAAACCCTAACCCTAGTATTTAACCCTAAACCCTCATAAACCCTAAACCCTCATAAACCCTAAACCCTCATAAACCCT